CTGCCGCCGTTGCTGTTGCCGCCTTCGTCGCCATTGTCCAACCAACAGCCATCCTCATCGCACGCGTCCTCCGCTTCTTGCGCTGCTGGTGCCGGTGTAGCTGCTGATGTGGGCACTGCGATCGCCCCCCCAGTTGATACGGCGGGGGGTATCTGGCCGCAGGTCGACGAAACCTCCAGTGCCACCGTTCCTGCAGCTGACGGCGCCCCGGCCGTTCCCCCCATCGACGAGTCGGGGAAAACACCAATACCTGTCATCGTCCCCACCGTTGTTTCCGCTGCTGAAGCCACGCCTGCTGACGACACAAGTGGTGGGCCCGGCTGCACATGCAGTGCCGGTTTCTTGGCCGCCAATTTCCCCCATTGCCTCCGTATGTCAGCAAGCTCTTCTTTCATGCTTTCGAGTTCATCCGTCGCCGGTGCCGCCGCCGGTGGCACCACTGATACCGTAGCTTCAACATCAAGTGCCTGCTCCCCGGCCGTTCCCCCTGCCGCCGCCGAGACTCTGTTGCCGGGGGTCCCCGCTCTCGCCGCCGTTGCTGCCTCCGATGCCGCCGCTCCAGCCGCGAGTGCCTGCGCCGCGGCCGTTCCCCCCGCCACCGTAGCGGGGAAACCACCACCACCGGTCGCCGCTCCCACAGCAGTTGCTGTGCCCCATGCCACCGCTCCATCTGCAAAGGGGAGGAGCGACTCCGGCTGATGCCTGTGCCTGTGCCTCCTCCAGCGTCGTCGCTTCCGCTGCTGGTACGGCATAGTGTCGTTGCCACTCGCGTTGAGACCCTCTCCATCACCGACATGCACGTGCTGTTGCATGCGGCCGGTTGTGCAACACATGCGGCGCCGATGACCATACTCGCCGCAGGCAGTGCAGTGGCCTTCAAAGCGTCGTGGCGCATTGCAGTCGCCGAGTGAGTGTCCATGCCTCCCGCACCTCACGCACTGATGAACGGCACCCATCGGAGCGCCTGGCGGCGTAGCTGACTCCTCTTGCGGGTACACGGCGTTGCGCCCACAGTCATAGAGCCCCCCAGATCCCCACGTCGGGAAATTAGGAGGTGGGTGGTGTACAGGTGGTGGTTGTGGATGAACCCACTGTTGTTGCTGCTGCTGCTGCTGCCGCCGCCGTTGTTTCCCCTTCTGACCGCCGCCGCCATGACCGCACCCCAAACCACCGATCGCCTGCGATTTGCCCAATTCCTTGATTTCGACGTTGTTAGCGTATGCCGTGCGAACAACTTTTTCCACTTTCGCTCGGGGAATGGTGGGGTCGGCTAGGATAGACTTGCGTTCGACATCGTACTCGGGCGAAAGCTGGCGAACAATGATGTGGACGATTTCCCGCTCGGATTTTTCAATGCCGACAGCTCGCATGATGTTGACGATGCCATCGACTCTGGCAAAGAAAAGCTTCGGGTTCTCGCCAGGGGACATCTCAACTGCCTCCAACCGTCGCACAAGTAATGTCTTCTCGGCGTCAAAAGTAGGCAAAACCCATTCGCGGATCACCCTTCACGCCTCAGGGACGCAGTCGCAAGCAGCCAACCGTTCTTCAATGTCCGTGCCGCAGGTTGCTTCCAACAGATATCCCCACGCCCGGATGTGTGCCGTAACGAGCGCCGCACCATGAACCCGGTTCAGATATATGCAATCCAAACAGCTGATGACAGGAACATAGCCAGTGGGATAGGTGTCTTCAAGCGTCTGCTCCAAACCCTCGCTAGCCAGGAAAATCCGCAATCTCCGCAGCCAGTTCACGGCCTTCGCCGAATCTTTCGGGATTTTGGGCGGTATGCGACTGCTGCTGTAACCGCTCAACGCACAATTTCCGTCATTCATCATGCTCACCCGTTGTGTACCGAGACCAGCTCCACCAGCTGCCCAGGTAGACGTTCTCCCGGCAGCCATTACTCTTACCGGTGCATCATTCTTCTCCGATAGATGCCCATATTCCCTCTCCGTCATGTCCTTCTCCCTCGTCATCTCTTCTCTTCCTCCGCCAAATTACGCCGCAAAAAAAAACAAAACAGTCTTTACTTGTGGTCCACGCTGCCTACTAGTGGGAGAGGTAGCCATACCTTCTGCCTACATACGGGCGAGATAGGTAGCCATACCCACTGCATTTAACACACACCCACATGTCGGTGATGAAACCTCAACCACATGCCTCTATCGGCGACCACGTCAGGAGGCAATGAAGAAAAAATGTTCTCCTGTGCCGATTTGCAGATTTAACAGCACGAAATTACACGAAATTACACAAAAAGGTAAGAAAATGGTGAGACCACGCCCGTGTGTCCGCACATACTCCGAAATGTAATGTATCCACACATACCGTATATGACACAAGATAACACACCCCCTGGACCGATTTTCAAAGCTCGATTACTCCACGACGAAGAGGATGCATAAATGAAACAATACGTTTTCGAACAGCTCTCTCTCGACGAGACGGTTCCAACGCCGCCGTTTTCGGCGCTGTGACTCTTCCTGCTGTTGAGAAATCGAGCTTTGAAAATCGGCCAAGGGGGTGTGTTATCTTGTGTCATATACGGTATACATACCCAAATACCCGGTACATACGCGTACCACACTGAAAATACGTTTGAAAACTGAGGGAGATTGCATGCCCTACGACTAAAAGGGTGCCACACACAAAACGCCCGACCAGTACCTAACACATATCATCTGCACCTTCCCAACATAACATATATGAGACACACAAGGCAGCTACCAAACTGTCTTGTTGAGCCTGTTACCCGCAGGGGAGATGTCCCTGTATGCTGTCTGGGAAATCGTAGACATACAGGTACTTTCTGACGCTATGAATCCATTGCTAATCTGTCTCAGACTCTTTTCCATGATAGAGATGGTTTCGTTGTGTCATATTAAGAAAAATAAAAAAAACAATGTGTCTCCTACTGCCTACTGCTGTATTGTTTTGTAGCTGGATCTCCTTGACGCGTGCTGGCAATAACCGCCCGGCTGCTGCTGTCCTTGTGTTCCAAATGCTTTCCCTGGATCTCCTTGGCACGCGCAGGCAAAAACCGCCCTGCTGCTGCTGCCCTTGTATTCCAAACCCTGTTCCCTGGATCTCCTTGACGAGCGCGAGCAAAAACCACCCTGCTGCTGTCCTTGTATTCCGGTGCCTTCCTCCCGAACCTTTCCCTACCGACGTCAGCTGACTCCACGATATCGTGTTTGGGGTGTCGGTGCGTGTACTATGTTACCACGCTCGCGGGCTCTTGTCGAGAGCGTGTTGCACAAAGGAGTGACCCAAGTTCCTTGATTATTAGAGAGAGATAGTTTAACGAGTGACAGACGTGAGCAAGAAGAGGCAAAGCCTGCTGCACCAAATCTGTCTATCATACCCATATCTATCTCATCTGCGTATCCCCCTCGGAGATCTCGGAGAATTGTATCCTGCCGAGTACACACACAAACACAACAACACTCGATTCCGCACTGATTGTGAAGGCAAATGACCTGAGTTTTCAGCCTCGCCATCAGTCGGGCGGGGGGCTACGGAGGCTCGCACAGGCGAGCTTCCAGCGCCTTCGCCGATCAATCGGAAATATATCGGTGTACCGTATCGTATGTTCTGGGGGCACCAAAGGAGGATGTAGACCCTGGTGTGAGCAAACATTTGGCCTGACTTCCCGTCTCCTTTTCTCAAGGTGCTCGGTATCAGGTAATAATTAATTTTTCGCAGAAAATTATTATTTTCATTTGCCCACCGACAATGGCAGTTTGATCCCACTGAATCCACTTTCACTCCATATACCATCGACCCTATGCAGATAAACACCTCCGATCCTGCTATGCAAAAACAAATGCTCCTTCCCAAGTAAGTGTATTACAAATATTATATGAAAATTGCTCATGTGATGTAAAGCACCTACTCGTAGTCGCCACCGTCCGTCGAGAAATCAGGATAGATAGGCACGATTTGTTTTTGCTTTACTCTCACGACACACACCTTTGTGCGAGACCGAACCCGACCGCCTTGAGTTGACCCCAGCCTCCAAAACGATTGGCCAATCGAACGTAGAGTCACACTTTCTAAGAGTTGGTTGCGATCAGATGACAAGGACATTTCTCGACAAACATGGGGTACGTACAGCAGTATTGCGAATACGCATGTAATTTGTAGCCTACAGCAGCAGCAACAGTTAGCCACTCCACAACACACACTACACACCTTTCGTGGCGTGTACGCGGTCGGTCATTGTGGTATGGACCTCAGGTGAAACAGGTCTTCTAGCTCTCGATTGCGCGTCGCGTTAGGTCACGTGCGTTAGGTCCCATATTTTCGTTTTTGTCGCGAGTTCGGGGCGTCGTCATTCTGTGCAACACACACGCACATACGCAGAGATGCACGTGGACAGCCCTCGTGTGCACAGTAGCACCGCCGCAGTGAGAACTTATGCCTCCGCGGGAGTTGCAGGCTACACCTCCAACACGAGATAGTGCAGCTCACACCACGATTCGGGACGGAGTCCACGCCGGGAAACACACGCGTGAAAGACAGCACCAGCACCAGCGCACCAGCACCAGACAGACAGACTATGTGCTGTGTGTCTCTGCCGCATTGTTGAGCAGCGCGACTTGTCTACGTACATGAACGATTGCACCGTAACTTTCGCAACCAGTCCGCCACACAATAGGCAAGAGGATGCGTGCGTGTTGGTGCTCACGCATGGATCGAATGACCCACAGGACTCGGTAGGATATTCGTCACACGGTTTCAGAGCATTTTTGGTAGACAGGAGCGTGTTCCACCCACAGGTTTAGACAACGCGGCAGGCACCGATTGCGTCTTCGTTCATGGAGTCTTCACCTCGCTTGCCATTCGGGACCCAAGGGGGCGCGGGGGGCCTTGTTTGCCCCAGTCCTTCTTGCCAGTGGTTGCGTTTGGTGATCGTAGCGAAAGCTATCCCTGACCGCATGCCACGGAAGTTACCGACACTCGAACTGCCTCCCGACAGAGTGTCCTTGCTTATAATGAAGGTGTAACAGAAAGCTAGGGAGGCTAGATACAATCCCTTGCTGCTAACTACTTCTAACTAGCACGCATCCCTGTCGTTTCAATGAACAACAACGTTGGTGCTGCTGTTCGATACCCAGGCTGTGTGGGAGACCTGGGCCGTCGCGATCTACTGCTTTTTTTTCGTGGCCCCTTTCCTCCACGTCGTGTACGACGCACTGGAAAAATGGATACCCGCCGACAAGAGCCAGGCTAACGCCATCGCCCAAGTGACCATTGATAGTTTGGTAGTAGAAACCTTCTTGGGGCTAACTTTTATAGTGATGGTGGGGTTCCTAGAGGGCGAGACATGGGAAGAGGATATCGTCCCCACGATCAAGTCCGACTACCTGACCCTAGTAGTGTGGCTAATGGTGACCAATATGGTCATGGGCCCGGCCCAGGTGTACTTGTTCGTGCACTTCCCGCTGAAATGGCGGGTCTTAATCGCTGACGGGAAAGGCCTCCTGTGGAATTTCATCGCGTGCTTCATTGTCGAGTGATCCTGCAAAGTGTGTTCTTCGTCTACAATAGGTACAGCATCGGGGGGGGCTTTGCCCTCCCTGCTGCAGCGCAAGGGGGGACACGTTCAGTACCTAGAAGTGCACCTTTTTAACTTGAGCGTGGGTATTGCACAGAAGAAGAAAAATTTGAGCAGGATCCGCGGCTGAGCTACAGACTATGTATCAACATCCTTAATTTTTTTTGCCCGTACTGTGAGCCTCTTTACCTCATTACATTTTTTCTTAATCGTGGGCGCCCTCTGCAATACGGGGTTGGCTCCATGTGCTTCACTAACGTTCTAGCGGACACACGTCGGTAGTCGACCATTCATTATTGAATGTTGCCTGTATTCTTGTCCCCGGTAAACGTTGCCGGTTGCGTCTTGGGCCCCCACACCGGTGGCCATTCGTCTCAAGCCCCAGCCCGTTAATCCGGTCACGGTTGTGAAACTCCAATCCAGGAAAGTGGTGCTTGGGAAAAATCCAGTTCATCGGTGCGACATGCGTCTGTTGAGTCTGTTGGGCGAAAAGTCAACGGCGTTTTACTCTTTTCAAAACTAAGCCCTGTGACTCCCCGCCGTGCACACGTATGTGGCACACGTGTGACGGCGCCAGTCCGCCCGCGGGTACCCGTTGGGCTAGCCCCCCTCATCTGAGAGAGTGCAATCGCTCGATCATGGAGGACGTCAGGGAAAAGACTAAATCTTTGTGGCTAAAAGGCACACGCACTTCGTGTGCTATCCCGATAGAGCGAACAAAGAAAGGACCTTTGGTCGCAGCAGCGAGAATGATCTCCTTCCTGCCCTACTTTGTCTTTCACTTTCATGTTCTACAACCCCCCCCCCCCCTGTTAACTGAACAATAGTCTTCTGTTTGCAGGGGCAAAATTGAAACGCAAAAAGCAACGGAAGAGGCCCAGGAACCGCAGTCACGAGAGCAGCGGTAGCATACAACGCCTTGTCTCACCCGAAAAAAAAAAAAGCTTGCTCGCCCAACTTCTCTTCCTGTACATCCACCATAATTTTGCTACCAGGCAAATGCATGCCATCTACTACTACTGCTTACTTGTTTACCCCGCCAAGGAGAGGAACACATCAAATCCAAACCCAAGCCCAAACACGCCCGTAACCGAAATGGAAAGGGGACAAATCAAACCGCAAAGATAGAACACGAGGAAGCGTGGTACGATGGCTAAAAAAATAACAAACGAAAACACCACTCCCGGCTCTCACGACATACAAATACAACACACGGCCTGCGCGCGAACTGCGCACCTTTTCATGCCTACAACTAGCTTACTCAAATCTTTTAAGATATTTATTCAAGTTTCAACATGAAAAGTGCAACATCCTGGCAGTCGCTTTTACCCCTGCCGTCAGTACCATCATAGTTCGACCCAAGGGTCTACTTCCCCCCCTCCCCCCCCCCGTCCTGCTCTGTTTCGAAGAGATGCGTAGTCAATTGTCGAATGAATACGGCAAGCAACAACGCTTGAGAATTCCTCACGACCCTGTGCCATCGATCGAGTAACATGTTGTCCTGAACCTCCAAACCCAGCCCGGTACCCACGGCGTACTGTCCTACTGTACGTAGCCTGGTGCGCACCCAAAATGTTTTCACGCACACCTTCAGAGGTCCCCCCCTTCCCCGCCCCCAGGAAGAGCCGACTATTTCTTGGCGGCCGCATCGTTCAACTATTAGTAAGCACAAGGGCAAAAGGCTTCCACTGCATTCGACGGGCCGTATCCTTCAACGCGACTACCTCCGAACCCCGGACAACACACGCATACGCGACACCACAAGCTGTTTTGGAGGCGTGCCCAAAAGGAGCGCAGCATACACTCCTTGATGCAAAGAGGGTGCCACGTAGAATTCTGGACCCTTACCACACGCTAGTGCAACGCACGTGCAACCCGATCCAGACTTGCCTGCTGCATCGACTCCCCCACGCCAAAAAAACAAATACTCATAAAAGTCGGTATTCCGCAGTGGGAAAGCGAGAGAATAAAACCACGCAAAAAGGCAATCAGGCGTGCATAGTACTGTACTCGGACGATGCATTGGTGGACACCGTCGATGACAAGACGTCAACCCCGCGCACTACGAACAGCCTAAGACAACACGCTGTCGGTGCAGCCAATGGGCTTTATTTCATCAACACAAAGCGCATTTCAGGAAATCCATTCCCCAGTGTACAAGCAAAAAGGCTACGCCTGACGATTGCAGGGCGGAAAAAAAGAAGACAAAAGTAGCCGCCTATAGTTCGTGAATACAGAGAGCTCTTCGTGCACCACAAGTACACCAAAAACCCATCGAGATGTCAACAAATATCCCCGCAAAAAACGCTGAGCGTGTCTGCCTCCTTCCCTCCTCCTTCGCGACCAGGACGAAAACATACATTCACAAATACGTAGTACAGTCAGTCATATCGGCACACCAGCAGCCGCCCAACGTACAATCTTCGCTGTAGTTTGATCGAGCATAACCGGTGCAGGGGCAATCCTTCGGAAGCGGACAGCAAACACAACAAAAAATCGCATCGACTACACCGTCCCCCACCTGCCCTCTGCCCCTTTTTCCTGCGCCGCCAACGCGCGGCACAGCACAGCCAACGATCACACACGAAAAATGACAAGTTGGCCCAGCTTCAGTGAGAAGACCGAGCGGAAAACCAAAAATCGTCCATGCGTGCAGCACCCAGTGCCTTCCAGCAGCATCCCTCCCATTTTACAAAAGAAAACCGAGTTGCTGCGTGTTGCTTGTGAGGGGTAGCACGTCAAAACGAGACTGGGGAAGAGCAGCCAACAACGCGCACGGAGCTGCGTGAGTGATGTTACACGTCATCTTTAAATTAAAGTCCAGAACATCCCATACCCCCTCCCGCTCGCTCCCTTTGTCCAACAGAGGAAGGCCAGAAGTCAACGCGAATCAGGAGAGACAAAACGACGTACCAGCACGCCAACGCTGGACGTTTCCCGCGAGATGGGAACGGGACAACAACCGCCAACTATGGGTGTGATAACAGAGTGCGGTAGCGTCTCCGCCTGCCCTGACCAAAAACAGCCGGTCGTCATGCCGAAACAGCACCACGCGGCGCAATGGCAAAATACTTTAGGGCCAAGGACACCTTGCACGCCCCCCTAACCCTGCTCCATTTCAAAAGGGAAGGGACAGCTCGGCTGGCATCGTATAGCTGTACTCAACGCCCATGCCGGCCTTCCACCGCGCTCACAGAAAACGGGCGCCGGCACTGAGATTCATCCGAAGGGAGCATGTCCCACACCGCGTCCTCCGAGGCAGAGCGCGTGCGGCCGGCTGGGGCGTCGCCGCGGCCGTCTTCGCGCAGGGGGATCCCGAAGTCGCGCCTGCCGTCGCTTCCCAGCTGCCCGCCGCTACCCCGGCCGCCCCCGGCCGCCCCCGGCCACCGACATGAGGTGCTGGCGGTCCGAGTACGACACCGAACGGTTGCGGCCCCCGTGCTCGACCACGCCGTCGCCACCACCGCCTAATGTGGGAGGCATCGGATAGAACGGATTGCTGTTGTGCGCGGGAGGGATAGCCGCAGGACGAGGACTCTTTACCCCGCTCAGTGTGGCGCGGTTGCAGGGGGCGTGTACTACGCACGTGACCGTGGTATCACGGAGTAGGCGATCCGTGAGGTAGCTCAGACTTGATCTGCTTTGTGTTTTTGAGTTTTTGTCGCACTCTGGCGTAAGTGGCAGATGGTGCCACGCGGGCAAGCATGAAAACCTTTGCATTTTTTTACGTGGCATGGTTGAGAAGGTGGTGCACATGGCTTCCCTTGAAGCCATCCGTCGGCGTGCAAATCGTCTCCATCATCGAGCAACCGCACAGTCAAAATAGCCACGGCGTGTGGAATCTTCCGTCATTTGCGGTACTCTTCAACAAAATGTGGGTAAAATTGGCGAGGCGTGCTCTGATCTATACGCACTTCGCACTCTCCCTCTCACCGACCTCTCACCGATTAAAACAACGGCGTCTGAAGAACGAACGGAGGATCATTGCTCCTTGCGCACGCGACACATTGTCAGACACAAAATAGCTATTCGAATTTTACTCTTTCCCTCTCCCGCCGCGTTTTGTGTCCTGCCGCCTACATATGCCTACATCCTCTCTCTGCTTCCGCCCATCTAGCGGCACACATCCACGGCGAAGGGAAGGTACGCGACAGGGCCTGAAGCGATGGAAGCTGTGAATAATACCTCTCTGTGTGGTACACTGGTGCGTGCGTGCACGTTTGTATGTGTTTGACCCTTTCGTTTACAAAGATGCTGATACCGGAGATGAAAGAAGGCACAGAAAAAGGAGGAGATCGGTGTGGATCAAGCTCATGTGTCTCTTGTCCCTCTCCACCTTGCTGCTGCTACTGCTCGATGCTGCTGATTATGTCACTGGAGGTCTTATTAAAAAACGTAGTATGTAAATGCAGAAAGGTGCGTTGAAGGTGTGCCGTTGCCCTACAGATACCCATCCCGACTCGTGCAGAGGCAAAGGGAATCCTCAACTAAGCTCGCGAGAACCCTTTCCGTGGAAAGGGACCTCTCCGTACCTGTTTAGTGCATCACAGCACTCCCGTGTAGGTAAAAGGGATCCGGAAAACGTACCTCGAACTGCTGTGGCTCTTCCGTGACGCGCCCCTTTTCTTCCTTAACTGTTTTTTGTGTTCTCCAACTGAGAATGTGGCGTCGTGAGATGAACGGGACAGATTTTCAGAGTTAAGCCTAGCAAGGCTGAATGTACAGTCATCGGCTACGTGTGGTTGGGTCATGTTGTAGCCGCGGTTTGCCCATTCCTCTTGTTTCCCCCTAGATCTCTCTCTCTCTCTGTTGCAACTCTCCCGTTATCCCGCCCTTTATCGCGCTCTTCGTCGCAAAAAGCACGCCAGCGCGACCTGTCCCTTTCTCGGCGCGGCTTCGCTTCTGATCGACAGAGATCCTTATACTTTTGAGACGGGGGACAGATCTTGTCTGGTGAAAGCA